GGCTTAGTAGCTGGTGCTGGGCTTTGGCTACTGTAGCAGCATCCCCAGCCTCTGCTCCATGGTTCCTCTTCTCTCTTCCCTTTGGCACTCTCCTCTAAACTATCAGTGAATTTTCTTTAGTTGCCTTAAGCTTGCCTAAGCACGTGGGTGACCTTGGCTGCTCTGTCATGTTCTTGCATCTTAGATGTCCATGTTCTTCCACCTGGACCTGGCCCTGAGGCCACTTTGGCCGGTTCTCCTTCTGGTCATGCTGGTTCTGTCCTGCTGTCTGTCCATGCCTGCAACCACACTGTGCTGCACAGCCCCCACACAGACATCTGGGGGGGCTGCAGCAGAACGAGGATGTGCTTTGCTTTACCCAGGAGGCATTAATTCTGTTCCAGTGAAGTCTGTAAGAAGAAAGGATCCTGCTGTGATTTGCACCCCAGTCAAAGGGCTTCAGCTCCCAGCTCTGCTGGTGTTTTCACTGGAGCAGTGGGTGGCAGAGCTTGTTCTTGCTGTAAATCGCACAAACCTGTTCTGTCAGAGGTGGGTGAGGGGCTGTCTGATTGTGCACATCTGTCCACAAACCTGATGCCTCAGCCTGATGTTGGGATTTGCTGAGTAACTGTTTCAAATATTTCTTAGTTAAATGCCCAGGTGCTCTCAAAATGCCAAACCTGTACAGTTCAGCCTTCTGGATAGATTCTTTGTTTCTAACCCAGGGGAAGTAACCCTTGATTTCTAAAAGCAGTTTATCATTTGGCATTTCTGCTTTTGGGTGAGTCTTCAGCATTGCTTGGAATTCAGGGGCCATTTAGAGTATTGTGCAGAACACTCAAAATCATTTAGTGCATCCTAGGGAAAAAAAAATGTCTTCGTGTTTTGATTTATAAATACCAAGTGCAAAGAGAAGATTTACCAGTGTGTCAAGAATACCTGGTGAAAAGAGAGCTGACTGGCATTAGCTGTGTATTTCTTGAAGCAGGACTTGCTCTATTAAGAGTTTTTCTGTTGTGTCTTCCCTTGGGCTCCTTTACCTCAAATTTCTCTCCCCCACCCCACTGTCCCGTGTTTGCATCTTAAATTAGTGTTGGGCTTACTGTGTCTTTCCCTCCCTTTCAGTTTGCTGCTGTTCCCTTTCTTGTGCTCTTGCATGTGCAAAGAACAAAGTCTATCAGTGCTGACCATTCTCTGCTCTGAACCTGGAATTCACACCTTCCTTTCACCTCATTTTTTTTCTTTTGTGTTTTGATCAAGTCCCCACCACAGCCTCACTTAGTATCACTGGAGTCATAACCAGACTCATCAGCATGCATATGACAGCTTCAGTGGGGCTTTGCTGCTGCTGATTCAAGCACTGAAAAATTTAAGTCTCTCTTTGTCTTTTCCACGTCTCCTTGCATAGTTTCAGCAAGGTCTGCTCCTCCTGCTTTGCCTGGCACTGCTGGAGCACAGACTCACCCACACGTGCTGATCTGAGAGGCTGAGGAGATGCCACTCCTGACTCGGCATCTCTCCCAGCCCCCTCCGGGAGCTGCAACACCTCCCACACAAAGCCCTGGAGCCAGGACAGACCTGCAGCAGGAAGATGTGCTGTGGGCTGATGATGGATTCTATTGTAACTTGCATGAATTGTTCCTTGTAGCCAAACTGGACCCATAACCTTGCTGTAAAAAGATCTTTGTCCCCTTTTATAGACTTCTGCAGGCTCACTTGAGCATGTGTATAGGCAAGATGCTAGCAGACCAACTTCCAAGCTTCTATTTAAACCTCTGCTGTTTGGGTTTCGTGATGTCCTGGTGCAGTGTGTGACGTCCCATTCACGGATCCTTGTCCTACCTGAGGGGCCTCCTGTACAGAGACAAGCTGCCAGAAAATACTGTGGCTGTGCTTGTCTTTGTCACACCAACAGATGTGCACTGTGACTCCACGTATGCAAACTTCCCACCTTCGCCTCCCAGCCTGCTCTGGGTTTTACCATCACACCCACCTGGATCCAAGTTGCTCTCGGTCTCGACCAGATTGCAATAGAAACCTTCTCCTCCTTTCCAGCAACCAAGGAGCTGCAGCCTCTCAACACACCTCTTCCCACTCCTATTCCAGAACAGGAACACTCTGACCTGTCACTGTTCCTGGAGGGGTGTTTGGTGACCTTGTCCAAAGCAATATAAAGACTTTGGATTTTATTGGTGAAGAGGGAAGACAACCAAGTTTTTCATTCTGGTGCTAGAACACTCTCCAGTGGTGCTCTCACAGTTGTGAAGCCTTTGCTTGAAGAATCCATGAGTGTGTGTGTGTGAGTGTGTGTATGTGTGTGTGTGTGTGTGCAGGTGTATAAAAACATCTGGAGGGTTTCTTCATTTCAAAAGATCTGAGCCCATGTTTGTCTCTATATTGTTGGCCTTAATCTAGCTCGTAGATACTGTGTCTATCTTGCTGCTCTTTTCTATATGAAGCTGGTTTGGAGGAAACAAAAGTTGATCTGGTCCCCCTGTAAAAGTCTTCGTGACTGATGTTGTTGATCTTCATACAGTGTTGGTCGGGGGGAGATTTTATTTTTCTAATATTTTTCCTACTGCAAAAATTGTTGGAGTGGGATGGAAAAAAGCTCTTTACAAAATGGTGTGATAAAGATGTGAGCATTACTTAATAATACCAACAGTTAATGATCAGGTGGAGTATAAGTGAGCTCTGTTTCCAGACCTTTTCCATTTCCTACCTTCCATTGGAAATGCCCAGGTACTTTTTCTTTGCATATGGGCTTGTTAGGCATGTTCTGAGACCTTGCAGATACTGTAGATGATTTTGCTGTTCCGACTTAGAAAGAATTTGGATTTTAGAGTTTGGTTCCAGTTCCACAGTCTGGGTAGTTTGGCAGATGTGACAAATATTATGCCCATATCTATTTGATGGGATAGAGGGAGTTGGTAGAACAACTTATCTTTTTACATAAAATTTTAGACATTAAATTGGTCCCTCTGGGGTGGGGGTGGGGGAACTGGCATATGTAGGCCAGATTCACTGAATTTTAGGCTGTTTGTTCAAGCAACAGATCCGGCCTGTGAATGTTGGATTCCCACCTCATTTTCTTGGGTGATGGGAATACCTGTAAGACACTGCTGAACTGGCTGGGTTCCTTAAAACAGGGCAGCTGGAATGAAGGGCTTGTGTTGCCTGTGGATGCTGCTATATTTTTTCTTCCAAGCACCATTCCTGGAAATGATGGTCTTAACCTCTCTCACAGACATTTGTTAAAAGGTTAGAAAGGGCCAATTTGGCCAACACTTTTTTCTTTTTTTTTTTCTTTTCTGCATCCAGAAATTATCATCACTGTGTCCTGTGGTGGGAGTAAGGTACAGAGTACTTTTGGATTGAATGGGTATCTAGAGAGGGTGAGCAGGACAATTTCAAGTCCTAAACCTTATTTCCTGTGAAAGACTGTATGTTATGTGTGTATACTTCTTTGGGGAGCTCTATCACTGTACAGTTTAGTTAAACGTGCTCCAAGGAAGGAGAAGCTGTTCCTCAGAGGTTTTTAGTTCATGCTTTGTGTTTAAAGAAGAATATTTTTCTTTAAAAAATAAAAATGGATAAGTTTTCACCTTAGTGTGTGTGGTCCAGTTATATGCACACTGTACTTTTGTGTTCATTTGGCACTTAAGGGATTTTTTTTTTTTGTTCTGTGGGATGGTGACTGAGAGTGTTTTACATATTGTTGCATGGTCTTAACTTTATGTTTTTATTTTGAAATGTATGTTAAGGGACAGGTGGTATAAGCTTTTAGACATAGGCTTTCTGATCACAGGCTTCAAAGGTTGTCATTTTCCTCCATTTATACTTTTATGACTCATGTTTAGATTGTTAAAATGGGCTGCTAATTTGTTTCAAGACCTGGCCGTGTATTCTCTGTATCTTTAAATACCTGGAGAAGTTCTGTGTTTTGCTGGGCAGGAGGGGATGCACTTCTCAGGCACTTTTCCTTTCACCCCTGTTCTTTCAGTGTTGGGGACCTGTTTGCTTCTGCAACCTGTTTTTATTTTCAGCGGTGCCATCGTGTTTAATTGCTTTTGCATTACACAGGGCAGAAAAACAACCACTGTGGCCACACTGCTGAGTCTTTCCTCTGCTCCATCAGAGCTCCCTTCTGCTGTTGGCAGATTTGTTATAACCAGTAGGGATGTTTCATTCTTAGCTATTTAAATAGTTCCATCCAGCCCAGTAGAAGTTTTCTGTTCAAAGACCTGTGCATTATTTTTAAAATATGAGCCACCAGTGTTGGTAGTTTTTGTAAATGGGAACAGCAGCCTGATAGTCATCGATTTTTTTTCCTTCTGTTTCTTAGCCCTGTACAACTTTTGGAAAAGAGGGACTGATTCCGTCCAAAAACCCTTCCAGATTTTTTTTTAAATTGAGGCACTTTTGTGGGTTTTTAATTAATTAAGGGTGATCAAGGAAGTAGTTTTTAAAGGAGGGTTTATTTTAATTAAATAACTGGCATAGGCCCACTAATAATTCTGTGCATAGGGATGTATTCTGAAGGATTTAGTGACTTGCACGGATGCAGCACCGGTGGAATCCGGGTTGCTGCACCACAGCTCTGCTCCTCCATCCTCCTCCCGGTGCCCGCAGGGACCCCCGAGCGACCCTTCCCCGGGGGGGTGTTGGCACCTGTAAGTAGCGGGTGTGCAGCCAGGCACCCGAACCCGCCGGAACGGTAAGAAATGATGGATTTGGCCGCTTTTACTACAGGGATTTTTGCCCCCCAAGCTCCGAGCTTTGCCGGGGCTGCCTTTGCCCGGGGCCGCCCCGCCGTCGCTGCTGTGTCTCGCTCCTCAGTGTTTGGGTTTGTGGAGCCAACGCGCCGTCCCGACCCCGCCGCGACCCCCAACTTCCCGGAGCGGGCCGGGCCGGGCCGAGGGGTGGGAGGGGAGACGTGGGGAGAGGGTTTTAGGGCGGCAGCGCGGGGCCGCAACGCAGTGGGGCCATGGGCGAGGCGGACCCCGGCGAGCTGCGGGCGGCGGGCACCGACCCGGCGATGTCGGGCACCGACCCGGGCGAGCCGGAGAAGCCTCCCTACACCTACGTGGCGCTGATCACCATGGCCATCCGCGCCAGCCCCGAGCAGCGGCTCCCGCTGAGCGGCATCTACGCCTTCATCGCCGAGCACTTCCCCTACTACCGCGGCTGCTCCCCGGGCTGGCAGAACAGCATCCGCCACAACCTCAGCCTCAACTCCTGCTTCCGACGCCTGCCCCGCCGCGGCAGCCGCGGCGGCGACTGGGTGCTGGATCCCGCTTTCCACGACATGTTCCCGGAGGGCGATTATCGCGGGCGCCGCCGCCGCTTCCGCCGCCCACCCGTATCATCATCATCATCATCATCATCATCATCATCATCATCGCCGCCACCGCCGCCCGCCCCGCTGCCCACCGCGCCCTGGTCCCCGCCGCAGCCCGTCGCGGTGTCCCCGGTCCCCGCAGGCTGCTCGCACGGGCCCTGGGCAGCGCTGGCGCTGCCCTGCGGGTGCCTCTGCCCGGAGCTGCCCGGCTGGGCCCCCGCCGGGCTCCTGGGGCCGCCGCAGGGCTTCCCCGCCTGGCCGCTGGATGCGGGGATGCCCCGCGAACTGGGCGCCAGGATGTCGCCCTCCTTCAAGTGACCCCCCCCCGGCCGGACTCGGGGCGCTGCTGCATCGCCGCTGGGTTCCCGAGAAAGCGTTTGAAACCCGCTGGATTCCTGAGAAAGCGATTTCAAACCGCCCGGGAAGCGCCGCGTGAGAAGTGCCCGTTGCGGTGACTGAGATGCTCCCCCTGTCTCGGTCCTCTGTGCCCCGAGGAGGATGAATTGCGTTTCTCTACTGCATCGGTTTGGATTTGGGGAAGGAGGGATTATGGTTTTGTTGTTCGAACCTTCAGGCAGGGGACTAATTACGGTTTTGGTGTTTGAACCTTCAGGCAGCCTGAGAGGGAGCCGCAGAACACGGGCGACCTCTGAAAGTACGCGAGGAGGAGTCATGCACATGCTACTCCTCGGTTCGTGCAGGGAAGTTATTTTTTTCAAGTGTCCTTAATTTATTTTGAAGCTTTTCTTTCAAGGTTTTATGGAAAAGCAATATCTATGTTGTGGGGTTGGTTTGGTTTTTTGGTTTTGTTGGGGTTTTTTTTTTTGGGGGGGGGGGGAATACCCCAAACCAACAAACCCCAAAGGTGTTTGGGTTAATACTGGAAATCTTGTGGGTTTGTATTTGAAGTGAATTTATATGGGATTTTTCATACGGGTTGTTTTATACTGTTGCTGGTTATGTATGTTTGCATACGTTCATTGTTAACAAGTTTCTTATATATTACCGTGTAATAATGTTTTCCCTTTGGGTTTCAGAGGGAGTAGTTTTTATGCTTTTCTCTCAAAATAAGGGTTCAGAGACAAAATATGCTTCCAATAAGAACCACGTTTTAAGTTTAAGGGAGAGAAGGATTCAAATACTGTTATGTGAAGAGCAGCATTTATTATATGTTATATTAATGAGTGGTATTTCCTAAGAGTTGTGGCTTCAAAAAGTACTTAAACTATTTTGATGCTTTTCTTGAAAGTAGGTACAACTGAAATCCAGTTTTATAGTTATTTTATATTTTTTTATGTTTATGAAGTGATTCTGAATGTCATCTTTAAATTCTACCAGTATGTTATAAACAATGAAATACTGTTAGATTTAGATGGGGCGACAACTTTATGGTTGTTTTTACGGGATGCCAACACATTAAAGATGCTGCAGTTCTGTCATGTTTCAAGTTGTTTTTTTCTTTTCATCTCATTTTTCATGTAGCTCCTGATATCTTTAAACACCAAACCATTTGCTATACTTCGAAGAAGTGTATTTGGACTCTGGCTATAAAATCAATTCAGTGCCCAAAGGGGAATGCAGGTACATAAGGATTGCTCTATTTTGAAGCTTTTGGTAACTGTATGTAACTGAAACAAATTCTTATGGGGTTTTTGTTCTAAATAAGGCATGGTTCTCTTCTGCTTGGCAGAGTTGTTAAGTGCCTGCTGCAGTTTAGAGCATATGTGAACAATTCATATATGTAAAACTACAGCTGCTGAATTTTGGGTATTGATTTTGACCTCTGCACTCCCATTAATTCCACAGTGCACACAATTAGGGAAATAGGAAGGGTTTCTGAAAGTCTGACTCTCATTGTGTGCCTCCCACTGGTGGTTTTATCTGGATTTTCTGATTTTTCCATTGCCCAGGTAAAGGTCCAGTAGATGGAGTCTCCTTAGAAACCCGGCGGTGGGCCCCGTGCAGGCTGAAACCTGTCCCCGGGGTGGGGGGGTTTCAAGAAGGGCTCTCTGGGTGGGGTTTGATGTGGAATACCCTCTCTTGGAGACAGGCAGCGGCTATGCCCGTTCCTGAAGGGCCAGGACATCATTTTCCCCAGGGAATCCCCCCGTTATCCAGAGGCCTGGGCCCAGCCGGGGGGGCTCAGTGCCCTCCCCTCAGCCCGTCCCTGCCCCTGCTCTGTGCTGGCGAGGCCCGGGAGGGTCTCCTGCCCCGGGGACCCGCACTCGCCTCAGCCCGGGGGATGTCGTACCCCTTTGTGCCGGCCCAGGGATGGCTCCTGGGCTGAGGCTGCCCATGGCTCGGCATCCAGCTGGCAGGGATGAGCTGGGGTAAGTGATTAAATGATGGCCCTTTCTTTACTTCCATTTCGGGACGCGGTGCCCTCACACGGGGGGGGGTGGGTGTGTGAGGGGAGCTCCCTCCTCAGCCTCCCTGCCGGGGGTGCTGAGCGGGGTGGGCTCCAAATGCGATGACAGGGCTGCTTTTATGCTCCCCTTAGGTAAAGATCGCTCCTGCCGTGATTATTCCTTTCGGAAATAAGAGATTATAAAGTGAATTTATAGCCCGGTGGATTCGGGGCTGTGTGCCCGTGGCTCGTGAGGCACTCGGGCACCTCTGGCTTTTGTGGGTGCAGAGTGAGGAATTGGTCATCCATTTCGGCTTTGTCTGTGCTGTGGTAGCAGCGATGCAGCCCAGGCAGGAGAACAAATTTTAAAAAAAAGTGATTTTCAGATATTTGAAACCATTTGCAGCAACTTGCCGCTAAAGGAGCACTTTACTGTGTGTTCTCTGGCCCATGTAATCCTGCAGGTACCAAGACACGGACATTTCATACTCAAAAGTGGACTTAACTGTTGGGGTTTTGTGGCTTCTTTTTTTTTTTTTTTTTCCTGTTGTTATTTCCCATTTTAACTTTTGGATTAACTGTGGCTCTTGTGTCTGGGGCATCCATTCTCACACGGAGATGGTGAGCCCAGTGGAAATCACTATCGACATCTGGCCCAAGGTTTTCCAAAACAACGAGTGAATTTGGGTCCTGGACACAAGATTTTTTTAATATCAGGCATTTAAAAGTCTTTCCATTTGGAATTCTACAGTTGCATTTTAATTTGGGAAGAACTGATTTACTGTTCATCCCTTGTCTTTGATGATTTAGTAGATGGAAGTTCCTTTTTTTATGTTGGAGATCCTGTGAGGACCGTCTTATCCTTCATCTGTCTGTGTGAGATTCAGTAAATAAATGAACTTCCCAGTTAACTCTGGCTTTTAAAAGTGGTGGGTAGGGAGGTGTTTGGGGGCGGGGTATTTTTGTTGGGTTTTTTTGGGGGGGTTGGTTAAGTTTTCAGGATTTCCTAGAGCAGTCCTAGTTTTTAACTGTCCGGGATGCATTTAAATTATAATTGTAGTTTATCAGCAGACTTCTCTGTGATGGTGTTCACAGCTACAGCATTCAGGCCCCAGGTATTCCTAAACAAAAAAAAGTTTACTGTCTAGAAAAGGAAATTGTGGTCGGTACATAAGCCTGCATTTTATTCAGCAACTGCAGCAGAGACACTGGAAATGCCATTTCAAGCTTTACATAATTACTAATACATAGCAAGAGCTCTGTTTATATGTCAGGTTTCTGAAGAACAGGAAATAGATATGGATGGGGCTAAATCCTGCAAGATAATGCTGTGTATTAGAAACTGCATGAAATGCTGAATGCCTTCTAGGCAGTGGAGACTGTGAGAGAGAATGCAATATATCAGGCAAAGCATAGGAAAGTAGTCTCAGGTTTCCAGTTAAAGCCTGTGTTATGATTTATATTGTGAATAAACGGGCACAGGAGTTCTGTGCATTAAGAAATGCTAATAATGTCAAATTATACAAAGTAATTATAGATGCAGGAATTTTGCATTGGTCCAGCTCTTGATATTCATCTCTCAAAAAAACACATACAGGTGTGGCAGGCTTTTGAGGACACAAGGAAGAGTCAAGAGCTTTGTCTTCTTTTTCCAGTGGGTTCATGTGTCATGTTGGCCCTTGATCGCTTTTAGCAGCCTGTTTAGTTGGTAAAGAGTGATTTATTTGCCAGCACTTAATCGGTTTGTGATTGCCACTAGATGGGGCGTTTGTGCCAGCATCCCAGAGTGAGGAGCGGCGCTCGAGGCTAAAACGGGTTTTTAGTGAAAGCCCAGCATCTCCTCCACCCCCTCCGGAAAACGAAACAATAAATACGTGTTGGAGCAATGTCAAAGAGAGATTCTAAAACCCTGCACATGGAGATGGGAACGTCCCAGTGCTATTTTCACCCGCAGTGGTCCCTCCTGCTCACCCCCTCCCAGCAGTGCCCCTGTCATGCTGGGCTTGGATAATTTCTCTCGAGGTGATGAGGTCCATGGTCAGATCCAAACAAATGCAGGTGGAGTTCATGGTATTCCCTGTAAGAGTAGTAGGGATGCACGTGACTGAGCTACTTGTGGGTCAAGTATTTGGATTGCAGACCACTTTGTGAGGAGCTCTTCCTCCTTTTATGCTCCTTATTGCACCTGCTTTGTCCTTTTTTGGGAGCAGGTTTGGGTAATGAGCCACAGCCCCAGTAGCAAATGGTTCTGTCTCTTACGTGGATGCCCTGATACGGATGCCACAAAAGAGTTAATCATCTCTTTGAGCTGTCTGTATTCTCCAGAGGCTCCTTCAATTGTCAGCGGGGATGGGCTCCTCCAAAGAACTATTCAGAGCACTTAGACAAAGGCCCTGCTCTGTATCTCACCACTTGTAGGAGCCTCTCTCTCTTTTCATTATTTAAAAAGACAAAAAAAAAAACCCTAAGAGCCTGGGAAGACTGGCTACCTCTGCCAGCACAGGGAGGTGCTGGGAATCCCCCTCAGCCTCCTTCAGGCACCCCCGAACTCCCCCCCAGTCCCTGCCTCGCCTCTGTGGCTGGAACAGAAAGCTGCTGCATGGGCTGCACTTAAACCAGGGGATGGCTCCCGGTTTGCTCGGCTTTCCTGGTGGCTCAGAAGGGCTGGAGCTTCCCCTGTGCTCTGCCTCCCTCCAACAGCTGAGGCTCTTACTGGTAAGCTTCTCTCTTGGGCTTGCGACTGCATTTAGAAAATCTGACCTCTGCTTATTTTTCTTCAAGTTACAGCCTCAGGTCAACATTCTTATAGGTTTTATAAATAAACCTCAGCCCAGCACATCCCTCTGTGAGCAGTGCAGAGGCTTTGGGTATGACTGAGGAAATACAGCATTCCCCTTTCCCACCAGCAGATATCAGACTGTTTATTCTTGTACATTTTGTGGCCTCAAGTCTGTCTTCACTCCTTCCCCTT